ATCTTGGTAAAGGAGGAGTGCTCACTAACACAGATTTAGACAGATGTGAGAACATTTGCGAGTCGTGGGTCTTTTGTGTATGTAGACATTTTTTTTAGATGTTTGAGTTCAGCTCATGAAAAATGGGAGCCAAAACAAAAGTGTTGCATTTATATTTTTGTTCGATGTAATTATATAGTTGTTTTTTAAAATGTTTTTCTACCGGTAAGGTACAGTGTCCACTCCAGAGAAGCCGCTTCCATGTAATTTGTTTTTATAGATATCATTCTAATATTATTAGCTTGACCACAAAAATAATAGACTAATACATTTGATACTGTGACAGGCCATATTGGCGTCACCCTTAGTCAAGCATATTAAGCAATCTACAATGACAGAAGATTTTAGGAGTGGCTGTTATAAGTGAGCAGGTGGGTTTGTAAAACTGCAGTTGAAACGTTTCTGCGGTTGTGCAACAAGGGCCACACATTTTCTAACCCAATAAAGCTTACACAGAGAATTTATGGAGGACTAAAATCACACAACATGAATCTGATTTATTTGTACTGCAGACAGACCACACAGAGTGAGTCATTGAACATTTCTTTTGTGCTCGGTAGTAAAACTATTTGCATCACAAGGTCTAAATTCTGCCTAAATTTTGTCAATATGATGAATATCTTTCAGATCTACTTTTTTCCCCCCTATCCAGCTCCTCTGATGTTGTTGTCCGTTCAGTCATTCATGTACAGCACATGTTCCCAGAGAATTTGTGCACTGATTGCATTTATATAATCTCACTGGCCGTATCCCCACATATTCCCTTTTTTTCATGTCATTTATATTCCCTGATGCAATAATACAATTTCCCAACTCGAATCATTAAAATTTATCTTACCCCAGTGTAAGCATTATGTCCCGTGGTGCACTTGATGTTTGACATACTTGCCTTGCCAAGAATAAGAAAGGGGAGGGGGGAGGGCATGCGATTGTTGTTAAACCTAGCCAAATGTCGATGTACTGGGACGCAGTTTCTGCAGTGAGACGTGTCAGCCTTCAGAATACTTTCTGGGCTTTTACGCTTGTGATTTTGAATATTGAAAAGTCCTGATTGCATGGCGCTGTATTAACAACACATGGGAACTCTCTAAAAGAATGATCCTGTAAATGTTCTCTTATGAGAGGGAGACTTGGTTAGCATACACGACCATACATGAGTGTAGAAGGGTGTGTGAGCTCTGTCCTAAGAGTTAAAGCAGCAGGGAGGCCAAGCCTGCTCTATGTCAAAAGGACACAATCACAACTCATCCACCTATGTACCAACACACACACACACACACACACAGCAGTCTGGTTCTTTTATTGCTGCTTCCCAGGTTTCTCACATCTAAGGAGGAAGGGGCTAAAGCTCAAAGGTGAAAGGTCATCTTTACAAGGACTGCTCTCCTTTTCCATGTAGTTCCTAATAAAGCTTTAATCAAGCCAATTAAGGTTCATTAACTGGTCTTTTGGGGGCTGGGACTGTTTAACCCAGTACACAATTGACCCTATTTGGAATCTATAGGAAAGCACCAGAGTCGGGGGTTGATGGACTGAGTATCTGTGGTTTTTCTGACCCAGGTGAGTGTTTCTTACATAACACTCCAAAGCAAGATTGTGTTAAACATACATGCATATGTGGACGTGCAACAGCTGCAATAAAGCAAATACAGCAAACATGAATGGGTGTATTTTTTTATTGTTATAGAAAATCACTGTGTCTCCGTTTCAGTTCAATTCAATTTTATTTATACAGTGCCAAATCACAACAACAGTTGCCTCAAGGCGCTTTATATTGTAAGGTAGATCCTACAATAATACATACAGAGAAAAAAATAACAATCATATGACCCCCTATGAACAAGCACTTTGGCGACAGTGGGAAGGAAAAACTCCCTTTTAACAGGAAGAAACCAGGCGCAGGAAGGGGCGGGGCCATCTGCTGCAACCGCTTGGGTTGAGAGAAGGAAGACAGGATAAAGACATGCTGTGGAAGAGAGACAGAGGTTAATAACAAGTGTGATTCCATGCAGAGAGGTCTGTTAACACATAGTGAGTGAGAAAGGTGACTGAAAAGGAAATGCTCAATGCATCATGGGAATCCCCCAGCAGCCTATGTCTATTGCAGCATGACTAAGGGAGGATTCAGGGTCACCTGGTCCAGCCCTAACTATATGCTTTAGCAAAAAGGAAAGTTTGAAGCCTAAAGTAGAGATAGTGTCTGTCTCCCAAATCCAAACTGTCTGTCTGTGTGTCCTGGTGTGTGTGTGTTCGCTGTCCGTTTTATGTGTGTGTCAACCTCACTTCTGAAATCTGACGTCCTCAGTGCAAATCCCGGGCCACCGCAGACCTGCGGTCCACAGAATGGCCTCTTTGTATCAGTATGGGACTGACTGGCCACTTCTGCACTCTTGGCTCCCCCTCAAGCCCTGGCTGACCTCCAGATCCCAGAACCAGGGCAGGCCTTGCATCTCTGTAGTCCACCCCAGACAAAGAGGCCTCTACACAGGGCTGACTCTTCTCTCAACTCCCTCCCCCCCAGTATTCCCTCCCCTTCATCACAAACTGGGTTACAACAGTCAGGTTAGCCATTAATGTTGACATCAATACCTTCCATTGATCCAAATGAAATTTTCCCCCAACTAATGCATGATTTCCTGTTGAATTATGTCATTTGCTTGTAAGCTCATGAGAGAATACGGCTCTTAATGATTTATTCGAGACACGTTGCTGCGTGTTCGCGCTTTTCTTTTCTTGGAAATACACTTTTCTTAAACACATTTTTGAAAAGAAACCCATAATCTTCAAATTTAAAGGAGACTTTTGAATGTTTCCAGCAACTGGAAACTACATTTTCATTTAAATTAGCTCCAGAATGTGTTTGTGAATTTAATGCAGATACATGCTATACAGATTTAGAAAGCTGCACAGGTGCACGTTAGTATCATGTCATTTTTGGAACTATATTTAATAAGCAGTGAGGCTTGCCATGCTGACCACAGAGAGCTGGACACCTGGGGACAGAGGGGACAGCTCAGGGTCCTGTTCTTGCACTGAGGCATCAGATGTTCCAGTCACTGTAAACATCCTTATTAACTGAGCTATTTAACAGAGGTACTGTGTTATGGGTCAGGGAGTAAGTGTGTGTACTACTAGTGCCTGCTGTTTTGTTCAAATTCAAAAAAAATTACAAAAGTGTTGTACAAGAGTCAGATTACAGTGTTTTGGAATATGTTTTAAGGATTTCCTAGAATTTTTTCAAATTTTCTCAGAACCCCAGAGAAGCATCCAAAACTATTTTTTTCTCTCCAAAAATAACTTTGCATCAGTGAGAAAAACAACTGTTTGTATGTGAGGTCCAGTTGGTGCAGCACAATCTGTTAAGGGTTTACATTTAGCCATCATAACCCTACCCAGTCTCCCAGGTGAAATAATTTTACACTTATATTAAGTTTAGGTTTGATCCATTATCAGTGATGCAACTGTATTTCTTTATTCCATGCAAATTCAGACCAAACTACAACCTTTGTTTTAAATTTTGCATTTTGCCACATTTGCACATCTGGACTGAAGCACAGCTGGTTCAGTACAAGTTGGTTGGAGTGCTTGCTGTAGCACGCACTTGCATTTACAGGGTGGATTTCCCCTCTTCGAGTGCATGTCGAGCCCCCCTTCCCCCTGCCAGACGAAATCAGCCTGCTGGTGGTTTTACTGCAAATTGTTCCACCTCAATTATCCGAATCCCAACCAGTAATTACTGCACCATTCACTTTTTCATTTGCACGGATTCACCTCTCAGGTGTGGAAGCCTTGTTTCCCGCATGGGCACCATCCTTGGCTTCATTAGGCCGCGGTGCTCTCCACCAGGCTTTTGGCTTCAGTTTTCGGCACACGTATATTTTACACAAACTGACAAAAAAGCTTATAGATACATTCAGATTACATGAACCTGAGGATCCTGATGACGTGCCTTTGAGAGAAAGGAAGTGCTATAATCACGTCTCTGTGCAAAGGTTTTGCAACAGTGAGTGGCAGATGCATTAAATCTACCCGCAGTTGGCAGGACACTGTGCTTCCTAACACTGATCCTTAGGAATGTTGAGGAATTCAGGGACACATATAGAGATAGATAGCAGAGGAAAGCTCAGGAGAGTCTCCTGGGGAAATCATTTTATTACACCCTCTTCTTTTTCCAACAGAAAATTTTGATCCCTCTTTAACCCCTTAGTGTGGCTTTCTCTGTGCAGGCAACACATGCT